CCAGCCATCATGAAACATCCCACCTCAACACCCCCATATACATTTATCACTCTCTACCCACAATCATACTACACTCCTCCCGACACACCAAAGTCCTTTTACAGGGTTGGCAGAACCCGCTCTTTTTTACTCGACTCCACCTTATTCTTAAAAACAACCCTCTTTTATATACCCCCCACCACAAGTAAGAATAAAACTTCCGTCCTCGTTTCTTCTCCTATTTATTGTTCTATTGGAAAAAGGGAGGTATCGGCTTAATTTTTTTTTTCTTAGTCAAAAAAAAAAAAAAAGCCCCTCACCCAAATAAATTCTACCCTCCCTTTTCTTACCCTGCCCCCGCCCAAAACCCACTCCCATTTTTTATATTCCCCCCCCAATTTGGGACGGGCGCCAATAGGGGGAGCCCAACAGGGGCTGGCGGTCATCTCTCACTTTTGTCGTTTACGGGCTGCGAGCAAGGGAAAAAAAAAAAAAGAAAAAAAGAAGAAGAAGAAGAACAAGGAGGAGGAAATACGGTAAGCCGGTTGTGCCTCTGCATCATCCCTCCATCCATCATCGGGGGCCCGCCCAGCTAGAGAAAGCCGCTTTCGAATCCAAAACTCACTAAAACCAATGTTCTCTTTCTTGTGGGGTTGCGAGCCGTCTGGGCTCTCCACATCCAAGGGTCAGTTTTTTCTCTTGTCTTTTTCTTTCTTGTTTTGTCCTTCGTTTTCCCTTTGCCTTGTGTGGCTAGAGCTTATGTGTGCCGCAGAGAGGGTTAACTATTCGGGGAGAGAATTATTTTATGGAGCAGGGGCCAAAGCCGAAATGGCCCATTCTACGTGCCAGAGCAGATGGTATCGATTCAGGGGGTCACAGTTCAGCATGTGGCAGCGTGGACAAGTAAGCACCTAAGCAGCCAACGTATTAACTATTAGTTACCCCGTCAGAGAAGCCATGTGTATGTCATAATTTTGGAGCATTAACTAACTAGATTGACTAGTTAATTAATTACTGGTGGTGTTTTTGAAGATGATAAACAGATGTCGAGGGCATGTTTTATGAGATATTCAAGAGTTCTTTCTTTTGTTCTTTTTCTTTCCGGAGGGGTAGGAAAGTGGTTATGGCGTACACAATGGGATGACCTGAAAGATAGTCAGAAGCCCAAGCCGTTGGGCTTTGAACAGCAGTGAACTGTAGGCGATGAATTATCACCGTCTCCACTGGCTGATCTGAAAGGTAATTTTGCAGATGTTATTCATGCAGCTTTTTATATGCCTGCCTATTTTACCACTTCACCTGGCCTGAAGTAAGCATGAAGCAAGTTTCAAATGGGGGTGAAAGAGAAAAAAACAAAAAACGAAAAAAAAAAAAAAAAAAAAAAATTCCCAACATCAACAAGTCAACGGTGCATAAACCCTGATACCATAGGTTTCAGGTACGTAACTTAGTGGAGAGTTTCTACTGGCTGGCAAGTATAAGATGAGATAATCTCATCAAATCAGCGCCAGGATATAACTAGTTAATAGCCCTTGCAGCCCTCCAATAAACTTGCTGATCATCATGATCACGGTCACAGACGGGCTGGCGACCAGATGGCGTAGGGTTTGGGGGGGAGGGAAGGAAATTGAGCATCTTGGAGATTGGAGAATTGAGATGGAGGCAAGCAATCCCATGGTTTCCACGTAATGTCTCGGGCACACATTTATTTAACTTGACGGCGTTGTCTGCAGTTGAGTTGGGTATTTGACTGACAGATGTCCCGGTGGCTGGTGCTCATTCCATATCCTTTGCAAATAGATGCATTAATTGTTCAGAAGCAGGTTGTTCAGTTTCTAAGTAGTTATGAAACCGGGCATTTTCCCTTCCCACATACATTTCCTCCATTGATTGGCATGATACCAGACCAACTTTGCCAAAAACAAACGCCTCTCTCCACCCTTGGTCCAATCGGAGCAAACCTGAATTTCACATAATACTCCTTTCTGGTCGGTAGCTCTTCGGTTCCAACATCTCCTCCCCGTGGTATATTACATATGTATAAACAAAGTAACCATGATTTCCAGATTTTTGTTCACTTATGCCACCATCTTTGTTAAAGTAGTGTAACCGACGACGATCGATCCACGGGTTCAACCCTAGCGTAGGGACGATCGTTGGGGCGTCGACCATCCAGATTAAGAAATAGAACAGAAAAATGAACGCCGATTCTCGAAAGCGGATCCTGGAGGGTGGGGAACAATTTGCTGCAAGAAACAGGGGGAGGAGCGCGACAACAAATGCACCACATGAAAGCGATCAACCTTGGGATGGAACGGGCACGGGCGGCGCTGGTTAAACTTCTCGTAGTAACGAGATGTTTTAAGCCGGCCTTATGATCGTTGCAGGTTGGTAGATATCCACGGATATAGGATATTTACCGCGAGCTTGATCCCCTAACCGCCGTCCGTATCTCGTTCTAAAATAAACTCCTCCAGGAGTGTAATGATCACTTGTTATGATTGTAAGAATAAACAAATAATTACACCACATTCAATCAATCAACTGGGAATGAGAGGATGAGAAGGGTTTCGGGTGGCCTTTTCTATTATCTTTCATGAAGGCTCATGCAAACACACATGCCTGAGGCAAAGTCCAACTCCTATGAAGCTGTCCTCTCGTCACATGGAATATCTTGAGAGAGACATGTCCTTCCAAGTTTCGTTTCTGTTGTTATCAGTCTATAACCCGGACGATATCATCTAGCGTGGTTCTGTACAAAATCTATAAATGAAACAGTGACGAGTGTCAAAAAGTCCCGAACATTGCTATAATTCTCTTCCTCAATAAACCAGGAAATAAACTACTCTCCCTACCAAAACCTTTCTTAGAAGGAAGGGGGGGGAAAAAAACACCCATCCATAGACAAGCTCCCTATTTCACACTGCTCTCCGGCAACCTTCCAGGCTGTGAAACTACGTAATCAAAGAGTAGTTCTTCCATAAGCGGGCCCTGCCCACAGTCATTGTGTAAATAGAGGCCAATCGGAGACTGTACCAGGGATTCGCGAGCTCCATTCCACCCGTTCAATCAGGTTTGGATGAAAGGGCTTCAGCTAAGGCCGCTTTACACCTTTCTATGCTTTCTCCGCTGATCACCCCTGGGGCCGCCACGGTCCTCAAGAAGTCCAAGACTTCGGGCTGTGACGGTGGAAATACGTTCTTCCTTGGGGAATTTATGGATACAGGGTGAGGTCTGAGGAATAGGCGTTAGAGGTAGGTTCTCTGAGCGCGGAGGGAAGGTTGTTGCGAGGGTAGGCACGGTATCAGTGTCATCCGAGATTCACCTTGAATCTGTATTGATTCAAGCAAATACCATGATGAAGCTATCTGACCCACTAAACTAAAGTCCAAGGACATCCACTGAGGAACGAGTGTATTTCCAAACAGAGTTATCCGGGAGGGCTATCAACAAGTGTTTGCATGGAAAGAATCTACCTTGCACCCCTCAGATAAGTTCAACATAAACACACGAAATGTGTGCGTGTTCAACAGGAATTTTCTTGAATGCAGTCAGCTTCATCGATTTTTCAACTTGGTCCACCCACGAGTCCCCTTTGGCCGGTGATTGTCGACCGTTTCCTCATCTGCGTGACTATCGTCATAAAGAGATTTGGCAGTGATGAAGCTCACGTCCGAAGCACTTGAGTAGAATTTTGAAGTCACAGTAACAGGTTCTTCTTCTTCCTTGCGAACCTGTTTTTGAGACTCTTCATCCTCCCATTCTGTTCGGTCGAGCAACTCCCACTCCGCACTCGCCATTTCCCCTAAAAGAGTGGATTTTAGTTTATCGGCAAGCTTGGTTGATGAAAGCAGTTTCCATTTTTTCATAAACTCTGTCCCTTCCGCACTTCCAAGGAACGAGTGCGCTGTTCCGTGAGAATAGTGGCCAAACATCGGGGATGATCTGGTTCGCTGGAGGTTGTTTTTAGGAGCATCTTTATTAGTGTCTTGGAGTTTTGCTTGGTTGTCTCGGGTTGACAGCACTCTCGTAATGGCTGACATCTGGGAAGGCTGTGCAACGAGTAGCATCCATAAATTGTGACCCACGTCGCAGATATTCTCCCAAGAATCGAAACCAATGTCTAAGCCTTGAGTACGACACACCCATGATATATCCCAGGCTAGCAGAGCAACACCCTCGATAAATAACCCATATGTAGCGGGATCTTCTTGTGCAAGCTTTGGCAAAGATTTGTTGATAAAAAGTGGTCGTGGACGTGGAAGTGGCCTGACATCGGCGGTTCGAGAAGCTGTCGGACTTGTCGAGGTTGACTGGTAAGGCGATGTGCCGGGAAATGTTGCCTTTCTGGACGAATACGAGGATGACGGTGAAAATATGGTAGGTAGAGGGTAATTCCGATGAGGTAGGGTTATCTCTGCAGGTAACCGCAGGGAGAGGTAATGCGAAACAAGGCATAGAAGATGGGAGATGTAGGTAAGGGAAGTGGTAATATGTGTATGATTTGCGCCTATAAATCCAAGTCAGCCATGATAGTAGGGCTATGTCTTCTAGAAATACCACACCATTTAGATCTCTGAGGTCGAAAATATTGACACCTCCAATAGTGTAGACAGTCACAAGCTCACCATTCTTGCGTCTGGATCTCTGGCGCAAGCGATAGAGGTTGGCAACTTCACGACAAAGAAAAACCCTAGACTGTGCTGTTTTATCATGCAGGCTGTTCCACAGATGTTCTGTTTTCTTGATATTATTTTGCACAGTAGAAAGCATCGATGCTCGTCGATTATCGACTTGATAAGTTGCGGATCCCACATCGGACCGCCGTAGTTTGAGGAGTGCCTTGCGGTGTGCAATTTTTTCTTTACCTTCCCTTATTTCCTCCCTCAGTGCTCTGATACGGTTGAGAATCGTCGACGTCCTCGCAGCCGACTGCGAAGAGCGACTCTTGGCTGCCTGGAGGACCCAAAGAGACGAGTGTTGTTGGGATTCGGAACCATCTGGTTGTTCATTCTCCGCAAATCCAATATTACCTGTATCTTTAACCGCAACAGCAGCTTCGATTTCTTTTCCAAGGGCCTCCTTTTCCAATAGGACCTTGGCATGGTCGAACCGAAGAGGATAGAGGTGATTACGGGAACATGTCGGGCAGAGAAGCTGGAGTCGGGTGTTTGGCCCACGATTACATACGTGGCAGCTCATAACCGGAAATTTCGAGAGAGGAGAGCTATCTATGGATTTCCAACGAATGGTTGGGTTTCCATACTCCACCCAATATCCCTCGAATGCAGGAACTGTTGAGGGTAGAAACGACCGTTGAGATAGGCAGAGAGAGGTAAGAGCTTAGGAGTAACTTTCATGACTCGTGCTGATAGGAAATTGAGGGTCTTTAAACATTTATATACCCCATCAAAGGCACTCAACGATTTTCAACCGAATTCACCGCAGGAACTGAAGGAAACTCGGTCGTAGTCCAAATGTTGTCTGGTGTGAGTCGAAATCGATGGAGTTGATGTTGCCTCGAAACTTGAAGAGAAACTTGGATGATGTCACCTGATATTTAACTTCGAGGCGAGCAGTTTTTGTAGTGTTTGCAATGTTTGCACCAGTGGCTACGATAATAAGGGAAGGACGCGCCTGCATCTCGTGGACGGCTTCTTCGACAAAGTCACGGTAACAAAAAGAGATGATATCATGTCTCCAGTTCAGAAGACAACAAGCAGCGGGGGTTAGATTGATCACACGGGATTTGGGATCCCGGGTGGCATAAGTAAGTAACTAACGTTACCTGACACGAGTGTGGCTTGCTGTTAGCCTCCCAGAACAAGCTGTTGCTTTGAGTGCACTTCTGTCATTAAAGCTGTTTCATCTTAACACAGATATCACCATGTCGAGCAATAATTCCAGTCCAGAATCACCGATATCTCATCCAGATTCTGGGGATGTTTTCCCAGAAAAGGTAGACCCAGATTCAACCCCCAAAGCCGAAAATACTGGAACTGGTCCGGACATTCCCCAAGATGCCATTCGTAAGGAAGAGGATGCGGTGGGGGAGGCATATCATGGATTGGCACTCTCTCTTCATGATTGTGATTGGGAACAGCTTCAGAAGAAGTTTACAGATGCCATGGATGAGAGAACCCAGGTAGAAATGACTCTGCATAGAGAAACTGCGGAGTTGCTTGAGGTTGGTTCCTTTACACTACATTTCTTGAACTCTGCTCTAATTTCATATCCTAGATGTTCATTGCGTGGTCACAAACGACAGTCTCCTGCGACGAAGATAGGGCATATAAGAGGTAATGATAATGACCCAAGCCAACTTCCATGAAGATATGAAAAGATTAACCGCACGTGCTTTTCCTCCATAAAAGGTTCAAAACGCGAATGAGTTTCACGCAAAACCACGAAACAAAACTCGAAGAGAAGAAAAAACACTGTATGGTGGTTTCCTGCTGTAGTAATAACATATTACATACTGACAACCTGCAGATGCCGATGTTGTAAAGGCATTTGAAAATGCTCTAGCGCTCCTACGTGTTGACTGAAAGATTTGGTGGATTTGCCGGAGACGAGACCTGCTTAATCACGTGCTTATTTTGTTAGTGGAACGGTCTCGTGGAAAAGTGCAGCCTCACCGCTTTTCGTTGTTCTGCCACTCCAAGTCCTCGTTGCCTACGAAACCTCCAAGAAGCGATGCCAGTGCATTTATTGCTTTTAAGTTGCTGTTCGCATTTCTACTATTATATCTTGTTTATACCAATGGAAATATGGAGGGTGAACCATCCAAAGATGATGTTGCTCTTTTGGAGCGCCTGAATGCTCTGAAACCATCCAGCGTCCAGCTGGGGCGAACACCGTTCGTAAACATTCTCGAATTCAAGTTAGCGCACTTAATAAATGGTTTTGATTGACGATTTGTAGTCTCCCCATTGAATTTTCGGATACAGATGCGCAGGAAGCACCGGTTGGCGACTTGTCGACGCGTTTCATCGGACTTGGTACCTCCACTTCATTTGGGCCATCTGAACTCCAGCAAGACGATATAGGCTCTTTCATTACATCTGGAGATGAGATAGAAGGACTTCTTTCAGACCTGCAAAGCAAGATCTGGGGAAAATCCCAAGAGCTAGATAATGCAGAGGATGTCGAATATTTGCTGAGGGAGGCTAGGGGGTTTTTACATTCTGCTTCCCATTACCAGGACCTGAAAGGCCATGTCATACATTCGCCGCAGCCATTTGCCACCAAAGAAAGTGATAATAATGATAGCTCAGAAGATAGGGACGCTGGTGATTACCTCCAAAAGGGTTCTTGATGAGGTCAGTGCGGAGGATGATCCAACAAAGCCGGCAGGGTCATCAGCCCCCGCTCCCTTCGAACCCAAAACGCCCGACAAAACCACAACCCAAAGCATTTCAAAGCCAGATACAGAAGCATCCGCACCTCCGTCAACCCCACTATCATCTATCCTAGAACTCCCCGCAACCCCATCCAGCATTATTTCCCCACAACGACACAAACACCAACCCGAACTAGATACCACCTCACCAGACCTCCCTTCCGCCCCGAAGTTTGCACCCGCAGAATGCCCTATCCATATCATTAATAATCGTCACAGCAGACGCTGCAAAGACGTCGATGATAATTTGAAGTCTTTTTGGTGTTGTATTTGCAGTGACGATGCGACGATAAAATGCCTTGATTGCGATGCGGAGTTGTTGTATTGTATTCGTTGTTGGAGGGAGATGCATGTTGATGAAGGGAGTGTGGAGGAGAGGGGGCATCGGAAAGTAAAGTTTGAGAGGGAGAGGTAATCAGAGGGGTTCTCTTTTTCATTTAAAAAGCAGAGTTTAGGACATAGCATAGTTTGCTCCCATTCGGGGTTCACGAGGTAATCGTTGGGACTGGTGGAGTAAGTTACATATTTACCACGCTCATATTTTAGATATATATTGGCCTTTCACTACCATGAAGTATCATCCATATGTGCTATATGACAAATTCTGTAACTGGGAATTATTGAGGTGCAAAATCCTTGGTCTGTTCAGGTTTGGAATAGAAAATCTCACAATGGTAATCTGTGCAAAATAACCCGAGCACAACGTGTGTAAATCCAATCACCGGCTGAAATACCAGAGGAATCACCTCTTCCGGCCAAACCGCCTCAGATAACTACAGTGCTACTACGAAAGTTTCCATTTTCACTCCCCCAAGCACAAACCAACCTAGTCCTACTAAGCCTTCCTTGATAGCCATCCAGACTCGTAGGAAAACCATATACAACTCACTTCTGTCAGAAGCACCAGAAAAAGGCTAAATATCCACAAGCAAAACTTAGTGTATCAAATGTGCATTAAAATCCTACATTTCACTCCCCTTTCACTCCCGAGTTCCTCGACCAGCCGAGCCGGAAATATCGGCCGTGATTGCTCGTCCCGTTATATCTTCCCATGTAGTTCCGAACCTACTCCCCGTAGCTGCAAGTAGCCCTTCCTCCTCTGCTTCCTCCGCATCCTCGTCGAGTTGCCGCTCGTCCAGCTTTGGTGTGCGGAATAACATGACGAGAAAGGCGATCAGGGAAAATCCTGCAGCGGAGGAACAGGTTAATAATTTCGATATTCTCCTTCTTGTTTTATCTGTTATGTGCAAACTGTGGACGCTTAGAGGTGGTATTAGATTCCTTTATCATTACGTACCTAGAAAGAAGAACTGCGCCCAGAAATCAAATATGCCGAAGACTGGGAAATTCAACGTGATGCGGTTCAGGAATGTGCTGACAACCGACGGCGTGCAAATGTTCTTAGCGAAAGGGCTCTCTGCTAGTTCTGAGCAAGGTTTAATGAGAGGTTCGAGCCCTGTGCAATCCGGCTGCTCACCGGGATACTTGGGTGGATGGTCGCAGAAGGTCTGTGGGCCGTATGTCGCATATTGCGGGGCCACGATCATTGAGATGGAATAATTGAGTGCAAGCGTGATCAGAGTCAACACCACCGTCGCGATAAGCAGTGCCTGAGGTGACGTATGGCCCTTGCGGATCTGGAATATTCTGATCCAGAAAAAGCGTATTCCTATTGCAGTGATTCCAACGATGGAGCTGCAGAAGAAAATGAGAACTAGGAGAACGAAAAGAACATAATCGACTGGGAAGGATTTGGCAGACTCGACGAATGCCCAGTTGATGGGATTGAATATATTTATTTTGCCCAAAATATAGCCGCAGTGGCCTTTGCAGACGGAATTATTCGCCTTGTCTATGCCGGTTAGGAGCATGGAGCACCATATTAATACCGCAATACCAAGTAAAAGAAGACCACCAAGGAGTTTAAGCGGGCGGAAGACCGCCAAAATTTTAAACCACGCTTTCAAGAGCCAGGTGCCCCTGTCTTGTTGAGCCTCTGCTGCCAAGCGTTGCCGTCGTCGTAAAGTTCGTTCCTCCCGCACTAGAGAATCAAGTTCCCTTCGCTGCTTTGAAGATAGGGTGTCCAGATTTCCACCACATCGGCCTTCTAACTGCCGCTGGCGCTCGATATTCTCCTCCAGCCGCGAAGCTGTGCTGGCTTTGAGGGTTGGGCTGGAAATTGAAGGGGCCGTTTTGATAAAAGAGACAGGGAGCAAGGCAAAACCGACAGATGTGTACAAAACGTAGAGAATAATTCCATTGGTGATAAGCAAACCAAGGCCAAATGTTAGAGCTCGTTCTCCGTCTGGAATTGGAAAGTTAGCATCATTTAACATTTGAATGCATGCCCAGTGTACACGTGTTTTCTCGGGAAGGGATGGTTGGTGAAAGAACGTACGATTTTCTGTTAACAACTTTCTAAAATAATCTAGATCAAAGTTTGGCGCTTCCCTGTTTCGCGCCACAGGAACAAAAAACCCAACGAGAAACAGGATAACTGCGAACAGAATAAAGGCTATGGTGTATTTGAAAGCTCCCCAAAATCTCTTCCCCCAGGTCTGCAAGCCTTCTTCAGCTGCAACTTCATCATATTCTTCGTACCAGAAGTAAGTGAACGGCACTACTAGGAGACAGAGCACCGCGTCCAGAGAGTAAAGGGAGTAATAAACGACTGTTAATGAGTAAGTGATTTTGTCAACCTCATCCTGCGTTGCCCAAGGCTTTCTTCTACCCTGTTTGGATGAAGTGGTAGACGATACCAAAGCCACATCAACTGGTAGTAAAAGCACCGTGGCAAGCAACGCTGTGAGGGTAAATATGCAAACTGCAGTCACATACGCAGACCGCTCGCGGGGCGTTTGGTAGATGTAAAAGAAGATAGATGCCACTGCGATGAGGATGACAACAACGATCGCGTATACTATCCATATCAAAGTAGACTGTAGTAATGCCATAATGAACGGTAGATCTAGAAATTCGAGAGCGGATATATGGCGTGTGGCATCAACAGGTGGTTCATGGGTATCTCTGGCTTCAATGAGAAGGCTAACGCTTGATCATGGAAAGCAAATTCAGCGCAAAACTCTCATGGGTAGCAGGAAACCAGAGCTAAACACATCATATCTCTAAATTTTATAAACAACAACACATTCATGTATGTAAGATGAATATCAGAATATCTCGATGTTTTCTTATTGTTGAAACTTGATATTCGCATTTGAAGCTGTCATCATTATTTCCTTCTTCGGAATGACACCACGTGATTGTTTAAAATGAGAAGCTTTAACCATAAGGGGACTAGCAGAAACCTTAAGAGCGAATTATACGCTAACCCAGTTTTGGAAAGATGCCATTTAGCTAAGCAGAAGTGACAAAAGAGCGTCAATCTTCAACGCGAAACCGACGAAAACCAACACCTTAAACAACTTTATGAATTGTCTTGTCTGGCTTCCATATTTCATTTTCTTTCAATGCTTTAGTAATCCTCATGGTCAGCTAGCGCTCTGTTGTCTGAACTCGGAGAGTAGGCCTTCGACAGCTCTCAAGTTCAGGGCCCTGGTTGATATTGATTACCTTTAAACATGCAATGTTATACGGAGCTGTTGCCGCCTTCAGGGGTAACGCATGTTTTGTCCGTTCCCTTTCTGTCGGGGATATCTAACAACTTGATAGTGGCAAAGACTACTCTACTCCAAGTGTACAATCTGGTTAACGTTGTCTACGGATCTGGTCCTGGCCAGTCCGATGAGAAAACTCGGTCCCAGTACTCCAAACTAGTTCTAGTGGCTGAATATGCTCTGTCCGGTACTGTCACCGACTTGGGTCGAGTGAAGATACTTGATTCGAAAAGTGGTGGAGAGGCTATCCTTGTTGCAACCAGGAACGCTAAACTCAGCCTGATTGAGTGGGATCCAGAGAAACACCAGATTTCCACAACTTCTATTCATTATTACGAGAGAGATGATGTTCACATCAGCCCATGGACTCCGAATCTTGCCGCCTGCCCTAGTCAGTTGACAGTCGACCCTAGTAGCAGATGTGCGGTACTCAACTTTGGAAAAAAAAACTTGGCTATCTTGCCTTTCCACCAGATGGGCGATGATTTAGTTATGGGTGATTTTGATTCAGATCATGATGAAGAACGCCAAATAGATACGAATCATACCGCTGAAGAACGGGATGAGGCAAATAAGCCTGATGGGCCAGTGTATCAAACTCCTTATGCATCGTCCTTTGTGCTCCCCATAGCAGCGCTGGAGCCTTCGATGCTCCACCCTATTAGTCTAGCGTTTTTATACGAATATAGGGAACCTACATTTGGCATTTTATACTCACAAGTGGCAGCATCCTCTGCTTTGCTACATGATCGAAAAGATGTAGTCTTTTACTCCGTTTTCACCCTGGACTTGGAACAGCGAGCTTCTACCACTCTCCTCTCTGTTCCACGGCTCCCCAATGATTTATTCAAAGTTATACCACTACCTCCGCCGGTTGGAGGTGCGCTATTAGTTGGATCTAACGAACTCGTCCATGTCGACCAAGCGGGAAGGACTAATGCTGTGGGAGTGAATGAATTTGCGAGGGAAGCCTCCAGCTTCTCGATGGCTGACCAATCAGATTTGGAAATGCGCTTGGAAGGCTGTGTTGTGGAGCAACTGGGAACCGAAAATTGTGATATGTTATTAGTGTTGCTAAATGGTGTTATGGCGGTGGTCAGTTTCAAACTTGATGGACGATCGGTATCGGGGATATATCTGCGGCCAGTTTCTGACCAGGCTGGAGGCGCCATTTTAAGAACCAAACCCTCTTGTTCGGCTCTTGTTGGCAGAGGCAAAATCTTTTTTGGTAGCGAAGAAGGGGATTCCATGCTCATTGGCTGGTCAAGACCTTCAGCAGGAGCAACGGTGCCTCCAGCGCCAGAAACTGGCGAGGACAACGTTGCGGAGCTATCCGAGGATGAAGAGGAAGAGGACGATGATGAAGATGCATATGAAGATGACCTGTACGCCACTCCAGTGACACCGGGGATTAATTCCCGCAACACTACATCTGTGAATGGCACCAGCCTCAACGACTACATCTTCCGAATCCACGACCGCCTCTGGAATCTAGGTCCTATGAGAGATATTACCCTAGGACGACCTCCCGGCTCACGAGATAAGGATAAGCGTCAGTCGGTTTCCAGTTTGTCAGCATATTTAGAACTCGTCACAACCCAGGGATATGGTAGAGCTGGAGGTCTTGCAATTCTCAGGCGTGAAATTGATCCGTATGTTATTGATTCTTTGATGATTAAAGACACAGATGGAGTAAGGTCTGTGCATGTCAAAGATCCTAAACTGCCAACACAAAGTGGATCACTTCCTGTAAATGCTGGGAGTAACTATGACCACTATCTTTTGCTATCCAAGTCCAAAGGTTTTGACAAAGAAAAGTCAGTTGTCTATAAAATGAGTAGTGGGGGACTGGAGGAGACTCGAGCACCGGAGTTTAACCCCAACGAGGACCGAACCATTGACATCGGGACGCTCGCTGGTGGCACCAGAGTGGTACAAGTTCTTAAGGGTGAAGTCCGAAGCTACGACAGTGGTATGTTGGCTGCCTTGATTACTTGCAGGAGTACCAGATTAAAATCAAATTTCGATATTTACTTTCCTTTTCTACTCACCCCGTTATTAGGAGAGTGCCCGCTACTTTTGATTATGGTATAGCTAATTTGCATTTAGGTCTTGGTCTCGCTCAAATATATCCAGTGTGGGATGAAGATACAAGCGAAGAGAGATCTGTGGTGCATGCAAGCTTTGCTGATCCCTATGTTCTTATTATCCGCGATGACAGCTCTATTCTGCTTCTTCAAGCAGACGAGTCTGGCGACTTAGATGAAATTGAAACAGATGGTATCATAGAATCAACAACATGGATTTCAGGATCACTCTACCAAGATAAATACCGGTCGTTTTTGTCCTATGAAGGAACTCCAAACAGAAAGCCATCTGACAATGTTCTTTTGTTTCTCCTTAACTCCGAATCCAAGCTTTATGTAAGAACATACTCATGATCGTCTTTTCAGTATCAGAAAAACAGACTGACCGTATTTGAAGATATTCCATCTCCCAAATGCCAAAGAGCCTGTTTATACCGCCGAAAGTGTTGACCTTTTGCCACAAATACTTCCAACAGAGCTTCCCCCAAGACGAACAACATATCGAGAGTGTTTAACGGAGATTCTAGTCGCAGATCTTGGGGATTCGGTCAGCAGAACCCCATATTTAATTGTGAGTTTTGCATTTCTGGCTCATATTTTCTACTTTGACTTCAAGCTTACCGGACACACATTTAGCTACGATCTAACAGCAATGAGCTCATATTATATGAGCCATACCATACTGTCCAATCCACCGAAAAACGACTGTCTGATTTACGGTTCTTGAAAATCGCCAATCACCATTTTCCAAAATTCCTCCCTGAATCAAACTTGGGCAATCTATCGGACAGCGATCGCCAGCTAGCGAGACCATTACGTGCTTTGGGGGATGTTTGCGGCTATCGAACCGTGTTTATGCCGGGAAACTCCCCATGTTTCATCATAAAATCGGCGACGAGCATTCCACATGTTATGAACCTTAGAGGGAAAACAGTCCATTCATTGAGTAGTTTTAATATCCCAGCATGTGAGAAAGGGTTCGTTTACGTTGATACTGATGTGAGTGCCTTCTTCCGTCATATTTTACGATGAGAAACTTACCTTGGCTGCCTAGAATGTTGTGCGAATGTGTCGATTTCCAAGAAACACTCATTTCGATGGCTCGTGGGCTGCACGAAAAATTGGCCTTGGAGAGCAGGTGGATAGTGTCGAATATTCCTCTTCGTCGGAAACTTATGTTTTAGGAACGAGCCAAAAAGCTGACTTCAAACTACCCGAGGATGATGAAATCCACCCGGAATGGCGAAATGAGGGTATGATATACACCCTTTTTTCTCTCTCTCTCTCTCTTTCTTCCCAACAGCAGCGAGGCAAATTCTAATTAAAATTTTATAGTTATATCTTTCTTTCCCCAGATCGATAAAGGGAGTGTTAAACTTCTAAACCCGAGGACGTGGTCAATTATCGATAGGTACGGACAATTCCAAACTATATATTGCCATCGTGAACCTATATTGTTAACACGCAGCTAGCTATCAACTGCGCACTGCAGAGCGTGTGATGTGCGTCAAATGCTTGAATCTTGAAGCGTCCGAAATCACACATGAGCGTAAGGAAATGATTGCGGTGGGCACAGCGCTGACGCGGGGCGAAGATATCGCTGCCCGTGGTTGCATTTACGTTTTCGAGGTCATCAAAGTGGTCCCGGAAGTTGATCGCCCCGAGACCAATCGAAAACTAAAGTTAATCGCAAAGGAAGAAGTCAAGGGAGCCATAACATCTCTCTCTGGTATTGGCGGACAAGGGTTTTTGATTGCTGCCCAAGGCCAGAAATGCATAGTTAGGGGTCTCAAGGAAGACGGTAGTCTTCTGCCGGTGGCATTTATGGACATGCAATGCTATGTCAGCGTGCTTAAAGAGCTCAAGGGTACGGGTATGTGCATCATGGGGGATGCTTTGAAGGGCCTATGGTTTGCGGGATATTCTGTAATTACTTCTCAATTACAAATGCCGGCACAATATCAGCGACTAACTCCAAATTTACAGGAAGAGCCGTATAAACTATCACTTTTCAGCAAAGATGACGGCAGTCTCCAAGTAATGGCAGCCGACTTCCTTCCTGATGGAAAACGCCTTTTTATCATGGTCGCAGATGATGACTGTAACATACATGTTTTACAGTATGACCCTGAGGGTAGGGGAAACAACTGATTTTCCACCATCACAATCCCAATAAAAATTATTCTAACAACTTCCTAACAGACCCGGGCTCTGCGAAAGGTGATCGACTATTACATCGCAGTACCTTTCACACAGGCCAATTTGCCTCAACACTTACCTTACTCCCTCGAACATCAGTACTCTCGCAAGGCCCCGAAGCCGAAGCGAATGCCATGGATCTCGATTCAAGTGGCCCTCTCCATCAAGTGCTTGTAACCTCTGAAACGGGATCAATCGCGCTCATCACCCCTGTCTCCGAAATGGCTTACCGTCGGCTCTCAGCGCTGCAATCCCAGATGATTAATACCCTCGAGCATCCCTGTGGCCTCAACCCCCGTGCCTTCAGGGCTGTTGAGAGCGACGGTATTGGTGGACGGGGTATGGTTGATGGTGATCTGGTGCAGAAATGGCTTGATTTGGGCACTCAGCGAAAGGCTGAGATAGCGAGTCGCGTTGGTGCAGATGTGTGGGAGATCCGTGCTGACCTTGAGGCTATTGGCAAAGCGGGGTTGGGGTATATGTAAAGTATATGACTTTTGCTAGATTTGATATTTATTGAGCAATCCTTAATTAGGGATTTACGCACCTAATCGTGGAGTCAAAATTTCAGCTGGAGAAGCCTTAAAGCTAGCTGGTCAAATAATCAAAACTTTAGAACACACTCGCCCACTCATCAAATATGCACTTGGCGGAATGATTTGTTCGTATTTCTCTCCCAAAGATTCTATAAATACTGGTCTCAATTAATACTGCAGGTCTACACAAATTCACATGTGAAGTTAGCGCAGATATCTCGATAAATATACAAGCCCCACAGCAATGATACAAACACCGCTAGCAAACAAAGCAATCATAAACTCTGCGCCATTCAACCCCCCACATTTACAAGGCTGGAAAGCCTCTGCTATTCCTTAACCATTGCTCTTCGCAAACAACTCCCGCGCTTTACTTTCCAACTCCACTATTTCTTCTGCGCATGGAAAAAAGTGATAAATTAGCTACCAGAGTTCCTGTCTTTTATTTATTTTTTTAATTTTTTTTAATTTTTTTTTTTTTTTTTTTTGCGTAATCTCATCATCCCCCTTTTGCCCACAACATCCCCCACACCCGAAGTAACGTCTGTAAAAGAACCAACGAATTACCAAAAATATGAACCGACTAACTTACTATTCCTCTCCACCTTCTCCTCATCCACCTCCAACCTCAACCATGCCCAATAAATAATCTGATACGTAAGCACTCCGCCCAGAAAGACCTTAGCAAAGGCCCGGCCAAAGTTTTTGTATATGGCAGTCTGTAGAGATAGTCATTTCCACCGCGCGCATGGCGCCGTTTATAAAAAATATGGTTAGATGATGGGGGCGATGATACGGCGCGGGGACGATATTATATCCACATTTGCAGGGCAGAGAAAACATGCAAAGCTAGAATGGAAAAAGATTTCGTTGTCATATATACTTACATGTGGCGAGGGTGCTTTGGTGGTGGGTTGCGCTGTATTATTGAGGGATTGAGGTGTTGAGGTAAATGTTCGGCGGGTGAATGATGAACATGACGATGTGAATGATGAGTGTTTCAAAATATATGGTTTTGAGGATGAGGGGAGTAGGAGAGAATTTTGTGGTTTGGGTATTAGGTAGCGAAACATGGCGGGAGAGTAAAATAAAAAGGACATTTTTTTAGGTGTTGAGGGGTTTCCGCTCCGTATGTTGAGCGAGATACACGGAATATCGAAGGTTTGGCGGCGGAGAAAGGTTGAGCGGCGGAAAAAAGAGGACAGCGGAGGCCGCCAAGAGTTTGAGATCACGTGGTTATATGCCCGCGGCCCCCAAAAGGGGAAGGCTCCCTAGCCCCATTTTTGAGCCCGTTTCTTCACTCTCTTCGTCCGCATTGAGGAGTCAGGGATGGGGTAATGGATAGCCCGTGTCTAGGTAGATGGTAGGAATGGAATTTTTCCATGCTAACTCTGATCATCTAATCACCTTCTTTTCCCCCGGCGAACCCCTGAAAAACCCATCCACCTAACTTCAGATGTCAACAAATTGATATCAGGGTTATTTGTGCCGTTTCTATTATTGTCCGCTAAACTCAAATTACTACTCTGGTATAGTGTCTCTATAGAGTCCTATCCAGATACATCAAATATACACCGATAAATGGGATCTGGTCGGGTAAACCAGTTAGTTCACTCCGGTGGCCCGTTCGAAAAGGCATACATCCCACCCTTTTCCAACCAGAGCTTCTTAACCAGTAGTTAAGGAGGTGTTAGCTAAAAGTGTTAATGAAGATACTGACTGTACTTGCTTTTCAAAGAAAATATCTTGGCAATGGATGGTGTCGGGTAGACCCTGGTTAAATTTAGGAGCGCTGTAATATGAAGAACCAGTTTTACCATGTTCAATACTGAATATGTGGTAATTAGTTAACTAAAGTAACTAACTAATTAGTTAACTAGGGTGGTTGCTTATAAATCAAGTTTCACTAGTTAGCTACTGTTCCTACTCCATTCCCCTACGCTCAGAGTTGGTTCGTGTTAATTGAGGCATTTCGAGTTTTGCATTATTTAGCCAGTTGGCATCACGAAACGTTCGAAAATCTGTTGCTGCAAAGGCAGACTGCTCAATTTGGAAATGCCTATGGGATGACGCCGGCTGCATTGCATCGAGAATTATAGAGGCAGCTAGAAGTAGCATTTATTACCTAGCATTCATTTACACCCCGAGTCAACTGTCAACATCCCGCAGGACATAATTTCGAAGGTAAACAAATCAGTTGGATTCTTGCTCCGTCTAAGCGATCACGTGACATGGGAAGGCTGCCCCCCAGGCACGCGCTGTTGGTTGGAATGCGGAGTTGGAGTGGAGTGACAGGCGACCAGCAAACACTAAGGACGATAAGCTTGTTTTTTGAGCCGCACCTTGCCCCTGACGTCGATCCCTGGGGATCTTGCATGTTGATAGCTTCAAGATGGGATTGAGAAAGTCTGCCGGAGACATTTGGTGCAGGGTGAATTCCGGACCAAAACAACCTCAAATCCTGTTTCCGGGGGCCTTGCCAGCTCCCAAATATGTAGACTTCGGAAGCCATGATGGTTGTGGTGGTATTTGGTGGTTGGACTCTTGTTGAAGATGTGGGCAAAAGATGCGATATATAGTTGAGGTGGTTCAACTTGGAGCCGGACCCGTGGGAGCATTCAAACCACGCAAAGCTACGGGGGGGGGGTGTGTTGTTTGGTCTCAGCGCGGCTCTTCAAATTCTGGCAAGTGGCGCCAAGGCCAGCCAGCCCATCTGCCCGCTAAACTTCATCGGTCCGTAGTGTGGTATTAGTCAGCAGATGCCATGCCTGGCCAAGACTAGCGTCGGGGGGCTGAAAGCACCCACCGGGCCAAAAGCGGCAGGGAGGACCCAAGAGGAGGCTTCTGCTGCTTCTCCTGACCCAAAGCAGGAGCGCGGTGAGAGAGACAGCAGCAGAAACAACAACATATGTAGACCCTGTACCTGTACGCACACTGAGATACCATTAACCTCTGCTTTGGGCTGCTATATCCATTCCTTTCACTCCTTTTATCCTCGGTTAAGATTATCGTGTTGGTGTTCGGTGCCTGCTCGAGCGCGCATATCTTAGAGGAAAACAGGGAAAAATCCCTTCACAACAACCACCGCGTTGATACCCACCTCCTTCTCGTCCTGCTGGCTTAAATAAGGATAGTCCTAGCTTTTCTGACTGATGAAATCCGTTTCCAGCGTTCGAGTTCTGGGAGGAGAGTCATAAACGTGTGTTGGCTTCAACTGCGGCAACTGCAGCTGTCCGGTCTTGCTCTTACCTCAAACTTCCTCCAAACTCCAAATTCCAACTCTAACCATCATCAACTCTTCTTGTACGTGGACGTCTTCATCTTGGTCCCTTTTGTGATAAGCAATGGTCGTTTTAGCTTGGGAGGGAATATCTACAATACATCACAAAAATAGAGATCAATTGCAACAATTTGCTAACATGGCAGTCGAAAAAAAGACCTCCACAGCACTCCGTGGACGCATCTTGACGTCATGCCGCGCGCTTCGAAACGTACTCTAGAGGAGATCGCGTTGAAATCGGATTCCAACGATGGCGACTACAGTGATTCCAAACCGCGTATTGCCCGGAAGTCTACAGCCTCAAAGTCCAAGTCGAAGAAACGACCTACTAAACGGCGCAGGAGAAACTCCATGGAGGATGATGATGATGAGGACGAGGATGACATATTCACCAGTGAAGATGACATTTCGGTCGATTCTGGATTGGATGAGGATGATCCCAACCTAGAAAGAACCGCTCGAGGATCCATTAAGAGAAGCGCAGCGAAGAAAGCCAACTATCAGATTTCGTCATCTGGTGAGGATGATGAAATGTTTGGGGAAGAAGAAGAGGAGGAGGAGGAGGAGGAGGAGGAGGAGGAACAGCAGGTGAGAGGGGAAACGCGAAATGCTGATAAAGGCAGAGCTACCAAGCGACTCGTGTTGAAGCTTCCTATCACCACCCAGCCAACCCCTGCACGCTCAACCAGAAATCTCCGGGGTCGTAGTGCTAGTAAGGACCATACGATGCCCACTGAATATCAATTTACCAGACGTACTACGCGCCGCAATTACGATGAGAGTGAGGATATTGTTGCACTTACTGGCTCTGGGCGACATGTGGAGACGGTACGTAAAGCTACACGAAGTCCAGAAGTAGCCACTCGGACGCGCAGGGGTGCTGCAACACCTGCCCATGTTCCATCCAAAAGCACCATCGATGAGGAAGAAGGCGATTCAATGCAGCCAGGGCAACATGAGGGTGATGCGATGATTGCAGAACCGGGAGCATCGCAGATTGAAATTTTGGAGAGCGACCAGCATGGGGAGTTCGAGGGCGATCATCTAACTGGGGAACATGTTGAGGAGATGGATGCGGAGCTGGATGGTGATGGAGGAGGCTTCGTACCTGAGTCAGACCAAGGCGAGGGAAATGATGAAGAAAAAGAAAAGCATGATGATGACGATGAAGAAAGCCCTCGCTCGGGAAGAAGCACACGGTCAAATCGAAAGCGTATTACCTCGGTTGAGACGGTGGAGGTAGTAGGTCGATTTACTCGCCGTTCCGCACGTAAAACCGCCAGTGCGACGAAAAGTTCGCGACAACCGCAAGAGGATGGGAGCGATTTTGAGCCCAATGATGACGAAGCTAATGACGAGGATTTATCTGAGTCGGAAGTTTCTCAACCCTCGCCACGCAAGGGTAGCCAAAATGCGGACGAGGCTTATGAAAGCAGCAATGACCGTCGATCCAGGTTACGGAAACGCCAGTCTCAATCCCAGACTCGAGTGGAGTCAGAGGCTGGCGAACTTGCAGAAGAACTGGCGGAGTTAAGACCTGAACGACGTCGCCGGAGAGCACAGAATGATATTGTCTTTGAAGATAAGCCCCGACGGAATCGAAAATTGGTTGATTATAGAATTGTTAGGCCAGAGATCGTGCTGCCTATTGATGAAGAGGACATGGCTTCTGGGTCCCCCTCTCGTCGTGGTCGCGGGGGAGGCAGCGGTTATCAAAGGACTCTCTTCTCAACCTATGGACCATTCGGAGGCGGCGGTGGTCCTGCACCCCTTCTAGGTGGTCCAACGGGAGCGGGTGCTGCGGGTGGAGCGGACAGTGATAGTAGCGATGATGATTCTGGCCAAAGGCCAATGGTTGGTGGCTTGGCAGGCATGACACCCACCTCTGGGCATGCACCTGGGCTCAGTATTCCTCCCCTTAGTCAAGCGTTTGGAACAGATGCAGCTCCGGGCTTGTCAGGCACTCCAGCAAATTTTGGAAAGGTGAAAGACAAACAAGCCCTGGCCGACTCTGATCCCCTAGGCATTGATCCGAACGTCAACTTTGATAGTGTTGGAGGATTACAAGGCCATATCGACCAACTGAAGGAGATGGTTGCTCTTCCCTTACTCTATCCGGAGATTTTCCACCGATTTCATATTGTTCCCCCTCGTGGTGTTTTGTTCCATGGACCTCCTGGTACGGGAAAGACGCTTTTAGCTAGGGCTCTTGCGTCCAGTGTGAGCTCAGAGGGCAGGAAAGTGACATTTTATATGCGAAAGGGAGCAGATGCACTTAGTAAATGGGTGGGTGAGGCAGAGAGACAGCTCCGCTTGCTTTTTGATGAAGCTCGCAAGACACAACCTAGCATCATCTTTTTCGATGAAATTGATGGTAAGTTTTCTTTATGTGTGGATTTCTCATTCAAATGGCTATATAATCTGATTTGAATGAATACAGGTTTGGCACCCGTCAGATCAAGTAAACAGGAACAAATCCATTCGTCTATTGTTTCCACACTTCTAGCGTTGATGGATGGAATGGATGGCCGAGGCCAGGTAATTGTCATCGGCGCAACGAATCGACCAGATTCTATTGACCCTGCCCTACGACGTCCCGGGCGATTCGATCGTGAATTTTATTTCCCATTACCCAATACTGAGGCCCGACGAGCAATTCTGGATATCCATACTCGAGGCTGGGATCCTCCTCTTCCTGACGAAATCAAGGATGAACTAGCGGAACTGACTAAGGGGTATGGTGGTGCGGATCTACGCGCGCTCTGTACAGAAGCAGCTCTGAATGCTGTGCAACGCAGATACCCACAGATTTATAGATCAAATGAGAAGCTCCTAATTGACCCGAAGAAGATAGAGATTCTGCCAAAGGATTTCATGATATCTATTAAGAAGATGGTGCCCTCGTCGGAGCGATCTGCCTCATCTGGTGCTTCTCCTTTACCTCCAATCATTGCGCCTCTCCTAGAAAACCCATTGCGTGAGATAAAGCAAATCCTTGCAGAGATTCTTCCACAGAAGAAGAAGCTTACTGCTTTGGAAGAGGCGCAGTTCGAAGAACCTGCCGGTCCAGCTGGGTTTCAGAGGGAGCGGATGCAGCAGGAATTTGAAACTTCGCGCATTTTTAGACCCAGACTGCTCATCTGGGGCCACCCGGGGATGGGACAACAGTATATTGCGGCAGCTCTGCTGAATCACTTTGAGGGTCTCCATGTGCAAGCGTTTGATCTACCCACGTTGATAAGTGACTCCACCAGGTCTCCCGAAGCCAGTTTGGTGCAATTGTTTACGGAGGTGAAACGACACAAACCCAGTGTCATATATATACCCAACGTGCAGACGTGGTATGACACGGTTGGTCCAACTGTTATTTCGACATTTCTTGGTTTACTACGTTCTCTCCCGCCTACAGACCCTGTGTTACTCCTTGGTGTACTTGAGAATGAAGGCGATAATACCGATTCGGCCATGATGCGCAATCTATTTGGTTTTTCGAAGAAGAATCGGTTCGACCTGCATCCTCCTGAGAGCAGGTGGCGGCATCAGTTCTTTGGCACGTTGATGAAGTACATTAAGAGTGCACCACCAGACTTTCCCGATCCAGAGAATAGGAAGAAGAGGAAGCTAGAACAGTTAGAAAAAGCCCCTCCTGCACCCCCGCGCCGGCCTCCTCCTCTGACAAGGGAGGAGTTGAAGGCGCAGAAGAAACAGGATAGGCATACTCTGAATATTTTGAAGATTAAGATTCAGCCGATTATGGATCAGATTAAGAAGTATAAGAAGTTCAGGACTGGGATTATTGATGAGAATCGGATTGGGTATTTGTATGAGGAGGAAGACCCGAATGTCGTGACAAGTGATATACCTCTGGAGCAGCGAACCACCTTCCGTCCATTTGAGAAGGGTGTTGACAAACATGGTGTACCCGGTTTACGTGAAACTGTTACTGGAAAGTTTTATTATAATATGGAAATTGTCACCATTGAGAAGCGGTTGTCGAATGGGTATTATAAGCGCCCGAAGGATTTTTTGGCGGACATCAAGCGGATCGCAAAAGATGCACGACAGTCCGGTGACCAGGATAGGCAGCTAAAGGCAAACGAGCTGCTATCAAACGTTGAGGTAGATATTTGGATCTTGGAACAATCAGATCCCTCATTGGTGACTGAGTGCGAACAGGTTTACCTTCGTGAGCTTGAGAGGGAGAGAGTTGCACTTGAAAAGTTAAAGCGAGCTGCTGGTGGGGATGGTATCATGGCTCCTCCGCCACTAATGAACGTTCCGCACGGAAATATGACGGAGAAATCGAATCTTTCGTCTGGACCGGTTATTCTGGGCGAACCCTTTAGCGGACCTCGTCCTGCAATTCAAGCAGAACCCACCACACTCATACGAGTGACCAACCAGAACACCATTACAAATGGACATGGGCCTAACACTAATGGCGGTGCTGGGGTTAATGAAACCGCTACCCGCCCTGTGGTCAGCTATGGCTCCGTCTGCGCCGATGGCGATATCCACATGTCGAATTCCGATGAGGTTCAGCATAGCGAACACAACAATACGGAGAATAGCTCCTTTGGGCAATCTGCCCAACCACGCCCGCCACATTCTTACACAGCACCCTCCCAACAGCTCCGGCAGCAATCTGGTCTCTCCAACTTATCACAGAAGGGAACAATGACTCCCATGGCCCCCGGCTCACAACCAGGCGATTATGCTAACGATGCCTCCACGACCCAAACAACGTCAGACAAGAAGAACTCCGGCCCTTCAGATGTGCCGAACCTGCAGACCCAGAGTTCACAGGGTGGGTTGGCAAGGCAGGAGTATCCCGATCTGAATTCGTATCCGGACCGTTTATCGGGAGACGAGCCTCTACCTGATACGCAGCAGGTCGAAAGTGGAGCGTGGGGTACACCTCTCTCCGGCATCGTGGATTTTGTAAACTCCCAACCAAGCTTCATAAACGGCAGTCAGCCGCAGGGCAATAATAACAGCAAACTCTCGCAACCATTTTCCCAGCCGCGAGTACCACCATTCGATGCTAGTGGAGTGAAGACAACAACGACACCCCGCCAGTCGCGTGTCAGGGAGCTTCTTAACGACGACGGGACGACACAGCATCAACCTGCTGGCAAACTGATTGTGGATAACCACCGGCTCGAATCGCTGCATCAGACATTCACGCAGAGGACCAACGGGCTTTCTGTGGAGCAGTTGGAGCAAATTAATACTAGTCTTATGGATTGTGTGTGGAGGATGCGCGGGGAGTGGAATCGGTTGGAGGTTGCGGAGGCGGTGGAACAGACATTTGAGGATGTGTTGATGGACATACAGTCAATGCAGGATTTTGGTGTGATTCCTTGATTAGGTGTCTTGTCTTGCGTTTGTTGAGTGTGGTTTCTTAATATATTTGAGCAAGCTGCTGGGCATGTATTAGATTGTTTTCTAATGAGGGAAACTGACATGTTTGTCGAGGTATCTATCGATGGGAAGTTGTTTATTTGCAGTTTTTCTAATTTCTCTTTTCTCTCTCTCTTCCCCCCCCCCCCCCCCCCCCAATCGATACCGCACCTGGCTTGTCTCTGGGGTTCGTTTTCTCTTCAGGTAGTAGTTACCTATGTGCCTGGTCCCGATCGACTCTCCACCTCTTTCATATACACCTTATTTATTGTTCTACGATACATATGGAGCTTGTGGACTTGCCCTTTGATCTGAGTGATAGTTAGATATATACAAGTTTCGTCTGCATTAGCCATAAAGACCTACTCCCAGAGCGAGCTGAAAAAGGATTAGCGTGGTCCGGGTCCAGACACACAAAGTTGCCCAGGTGTCATCTTACATAATCACTCCATCCCAACTTCGATCATTTCCAAGCAGCCCTGATCGACAACAAAACGGAATGCCGCAACGGAGAGACTGCACAACGACAATGCGCAGCTCAAGGATACCTATTCTACATGTGTTCTCCTTGCATATCCTTAGGTCGATACATTCTCTTATTTTCCTCTGAGGGACAAAAAGGAAAATCCTCCTCCGTCGACCGATTGGATCAACTATCCCATTTCCCGGACCCAGTTTCGCTGCGTCGTTAAGCTTTTTATACCCATTTTCTTTACCAACGATCTTTTGTGGGCCCCTTCCTATGATCATACCGTTGCGAATATTTGCGCAGAACATTAGCTTGTAGCTATTGTTGGTATAGTTGGAAGAACAAGGATACTCGCACCTCAAGCATTAGGGAGAGAAATAGAGCGAGAAGGGGACACGAAAGCAAAAGAGTGGTTACAATCCCTTTCCTGGGCCCCTAATTTGCCCTCACATATCTTCTTTATCTTTACACGATGGTGGACTGGCTCAGTCTATCCATCCCATTCGCCTATCTAGGCATCCTCATAGGGTCCTTAGCGACTTTCTCCTCGCTGTATCGGAAGCGGAAAGCTGGTAGGCCTCTCTTCCCCGTTGCGCATTCTTATATTTTACATCCGCTCTTCAGCTCTTTAACTGTGAGACACGAGGCATAAGTATACTAATATCTTTTCGTTTTGCTATCAATCTAGCGAAAGCCTCCTCCCTAACACCATGGTTTCCCCCCAACCTACAACGAGACGTATACCTCTCTCTCCTACATCTGGAGCCTAGCTTATCATCATCATCGTCGTCGTCAAAGGAGAAAAAAGCACCCGCTGTACCTGAGACGGTGCTAAAGGCAGCTCTTCTGCGACGCGCGACGGAAGATATCCGTCGTCTAATCCAGCTGCGCACCCAGAAGCCAGCGCTCGTTGGTTTGTTGCAGAAGGGTAGTGTTGGGGATGATCTGTGGCAGCGATTTTTGAGGGCGGAGAAGGAGATGGAGGCAGAAGTTAGAGATGTTGTTGCAGAGGTACGTTTCGCCCCTCGCTCTTTTTAAACTTTTGTTTTCGCACCTTACATACCTTTTTTTTTTTTTTTTTTTTTGGAAAGAAAAAAGTAATCTGCTTGGAGGGGCAAGAAGTATTTGGGTATTTGGGTTATAACTTTTTCATTAGGCCAATGCTTTTGTTCCCAACTGGGGCACAACCATCTTCCAATCCGCCAATGAAATGGTCGTCAACGCCTCATTCCGCGCAAATCTTGGAGAGATCCAGTCTTCCGTTAAGGAGGAGAGGGAATGGTGGAATAAGAAGAAGGCTAGTATTCAAGAGGGATTCATGAAGGAGCTGGAAGAGGATTCTGCAGTTAAACAAACCGGTTCGGGCCCAGCTTCTGGTCATAATAAGCCCAGTAGCAGTGATGAGGATGCTGTTCTGGTTGAGAGCGGTGGACCAGCTGTTGGTGGGGGTGGGAAGAATAAGAAGAAGAAGGGAAAGAAATGATGTTCTGTTTTGGCATTTCTAGTCCTTTCCCTTGCTCTTTTGTTCTATGAAGTTCCTGCTTTTTCCTGGTCAACCATTGTTAGTTGACGATTTAGCAGGACCGAGTCTATCTGTTATTGAAGGCTTTACATGGTCCGACAGAGTTTTTGTTCGAATACCACTCTCAGGGCATTAGATGGGTTGGATGTTGTTCCTTTTATTTCCCCCTTTTTTCTCCTTAATTCTTTTATGTGCTTTTTTTAGACATGAGAAAAAATGGTTTGAGGTCTTTGCTATATACTTTCTTTTTCTGCAGGTTCTGATTCTGAATGTCCCCTTCTTTTTAGCCCTGTAATTTTCGTATTTCCTTTTCCTTTTGTCCAGCCTTCTTAACTAAAGAACATCCCTACTTTAATTTTTATTTGTGTTAATTATGTATTACATTTTGGCATCTACTAGCGAATGACGGAGGCTTTCTATTTTTATTACTTCAACCTTTGTCAGTGTACCATATAAATTTCAACATGATATACCCGCAGTTCATCATATTATTATTATTGTGTCAGTGGCTTCTATATGATCTTCAAGCAACACTGCTGTGCATTTTCATTTGCTTTACTGACACTGATGAACGAAGAATCACAGAATTAATGATTTCTTCGCATATATGTATACATAGAACTCTAGGTTTAGGGAAATGCTTTATTGGCTACTAAACCTCGGTTCGCGGGACGTCAGGAAAAGGGGCAAGCATATTGGGAACAATAGTTTACCTGCGAATTAAATCATCATTTCAGTTGAAATATGTCTAAAATTTTACTGTCCTATCATACAGGAAATCTTGCGACTGTTATGCTCCTTAATTTTATCCCCATGACGCCCATTCTCCACCCCCAAGACTAAACGAGAAAATTCTATGATACAATGTAAGTAGATAGTCAACGAAGATCCCTATATATTCCCTGAAAATGAGAATGAAACAATGAGAAGGGACAGAATCAGAAAATATTAAATATATGTTACCCTATAATGCACGAAAAAGGAGAAAATGAAAAACAGTTAGTGAGGAATGGCAGGTGTTTGGACTGAAAGACTTCTAACAAAGACAATAGTCCAAACCAAAACGAGACATTCCCGAAGTCCCAATTAGCTGAACCCAGCACAAGACAAAAAACAAATTGAGTGAAGACTGGTTCACTGCAACAACTCTTCTGGCACCGGTTCCCCCAGATACAGCTCTTCACTCTCCCCCATCTCTGTAGCTGCCTTGCAGATCTTATCCTCGATCTTACGAGGATTCTCCGCCAAACGGCTCAGTACAACTCGCAGCAGATCTGTATACAGATTGACCTCATGGTCCTTCCGCGCCTTCGTGTCCAGATCCTCGATTAGTAGCCCTTGCTTAGCCAATTGGGTTTCTCTCCTATCACGAAGCGTTTCTAACAATTTAGACACATGTTGAAGGGTTTCTTTACTTCGCGGATTTATAGATATGCGACGACGTTGGCGGCGGGCCTTCTTACTGTTATCTGCCTTGGGAAGGGGAGGGAGGAGGCGGACGACTTCAAACATTAGGATGCGGCCTGTGACTACGTCTGGGATGTAGCCGAAAGCATGCCGCAGGGAATGCAGGGCGACGATCGTACCTTGAGGGTCAAGGGAGAAGGAGAAGCAGCGGAGAATTTGGTCGTAGAGATCTTTTGAGAAGAGTTGGCGGACGTTGGTTTGGTTGCGTGGTGTTAGGCTGAAGTACCAATCCATCATCTCTCGGAAGAGAACTCGAGCGGTGGGGAAGTTGGCGTCGAATGGTCGTCGGGCGCGGTCATATTGGATTTTACCGCAGTCCCAGAGACAGGCGAATGTTTCCAAGTCTGGGTGAACGGTGGCAGACATTTGCTGGTAGCGAGTCCAGACGCCAAGGACGTCATGTTTGCGTAACTCTGCGTAGAGGAGGTGATTCATGAAGAATGCATTAGGTCGCATTTGGGCTTTCTCGAGGCATTCAATGACGTAGTTAGCCATGCGGTCTTGTCCGCGTCGGGTATAATAGAGTAACAGGAGAGAAAATGTCTCGATGCTTGCCGGGGGAACAGTCTGGTTTTCATATGTCGGTAAACGGGTTCCATTCCCAGCATCATAGACAGATGGCTTAATCGACCCAGGAGACGGGTTCTTCTGCCGGGACCAAACATGGTCAATCCGTTCCTGAATCATCGCCCATCCGAGCTTCTCAGCCTTTTCTCGGCCAGAAGGGTTGTCTTTTCGGAGCCAGCCGCCAATGACCCCGTTTAAATGTCTTGCATCTGGCTTAATACCTCGTTCGTACATCAATTGAACGACCGCAACGGCGGAATCAACCTCTCCCATGCCAATTAACTTCTTCAACCAACTAGCATAAAAGAACTTATTCTGGAACTTTCGGGGCATTATCGTCAACGCGGAGAGAGATACTTTATTCACGTCAGCTTCTGTGATGCTGGAAGCTTGTAGATTTCCAACCAGACCCAGGGAGGCGTTATAAAGAGAAGTTGAGTCGGATGTAGTGGTTTGTCCAGTGAGCATCATATCTTTGAAGACCGCAACAGCCATGTCAACTCTGCCAGCTTTGAGAAAGCCAATACTTATGGAATCATAATCTGTCATGATTATGTCAGTCCCTAACATCGTTTTGAGCCGTAGATACAAAGTCCAAGCCCGGGCACCGTTCGTATTTCCTGGAATTTTAGCCCAGGCAATTATGATGGGTATTAAAATCCGAGGGGGGCGAGATTTGTCGTCCGCAAGAAATGCCATCGCAATATCCTGCGCGCGTTCCAATTCCCCATTAGCTATGAGTATCTGAACCCCTAGGTTCCAAAACTGCTCAACCTCTGTGCCAGCTGCATAGTTCAAGTGCTTCTCGCGAGTTTTCCACAGTGAAAAAGCTTTATTTGACTGTCCACTTTCAAGAAGAAGAGTAATATACTGCAGCCATTGAGATTGAGTTAAGTCCCGACCATTCGAAAGTATGTCCTCTGCCAAATCCTCCCAATGTCCCAAGAGCGGAGTTTGGGGGCTGGCGCTCTGGCTTTGAGAGTTCCACATTATGGTCAAGGTCTCTTCCGGTAATAAGTCAATGAAGGCTGGTATTGTTGCTCTACATCGTTGATATGACCTCCACAACTCTTGCCTATGGGCCCTTGTTGGGTCCTTAATCAGAAGCTTTAAATTTTGATTGAACCGGTTAACGTGCATTTGAGCTGTATCCGGGACTTTTAATTCAACTTCGAACGACTCTTTAGGAGGGGTTTTAGCCGGTGCCAGCATCTCCTTCGGATTCCATTCAGCTGATTTGCGCGTCTCCAAGTCTTGAGTCTCCTCCGCAATAATTTCTTCGAGGGCGCCAAAAAAATCTTGATAATCCTTATTATCCTTTGCCTCCTCCTCTGCATGTTCTTCTTCGTATTTGCGGACCGCGTTACGTACTATTTGTCTTTGGTTTTCCGACAGCTGTTTCATCAATGGGCTGTTGGGTCCAAACGGGCCTTGCTTTATCTCCTTTAGTTCCTCTTGTAGTTCCCTGATTTTGGCCCAAATAACCTCTTGCTCGGCTTGTTCTTCCTTCTCAGGGTATACCTCAATCTTCTCTTTGCTCGAGAGGGTAGGCTGCTCAAACCATCGTATTGAAGCTTTAGGTTCGTTGTTGCGACCATTTTCATTTGAGAGGGGGTTTATTGTCGAAGAGAACTGCCTTCGCAGATGAGGATTGGGAGGGAAACCGGAGCAAAGGCGACTCTTATGAACACCATGACGATGCCATTGAGCCCCGGACAGACTCAAGCGGCGCATGGATGTACAGGAGCGAAATTATACCATTAGAGAAGAAGTAAGAACTATGCCTTGCTTGAACTCAAAAGGAGTTGATGTTAAAGATTAGCGACCGAAGAAGTAATAATACGCCCAAGGGTAATATTACGGACGTGTAACTAACTAACCAATCTGATTATATAATCCTCCTAATCATCGCTTTACATTTTGAGCCCAGACAAGAAAACTTGAAGAATATCTCGTTTTATATTGCTCCAATGGCTCTCGGATGATTGAAAAATCAATGGCCAAGTTGCCGTTAGATTTTGGTTTTTTTAATAAAAATGGCCACTTCTGATAATCGCAAGGAGAACTGTGAGTTGAATGACCTTGACGGCTTAGAACACCAGGTTTGCCTTTACCCTTCATTCCTGTTCGCGGTCAATAAGCTAACCCTCGCGTAGACGTCGTATATCTATAACCCTATAAATAAGGCTCATTTCCAGACTGAACGCCCGTCCAAAAGACGTAAAGTGTCTAGCGTGTCGTCATCGCTGCATCAAAATGGTTTGCCCTTTGCACCTCTGCTTGAAGGGGAAGAGGACCCGGAATCTGTTAAACTACGGTATAACACGTTTCGCGGATTCTGGGCTAGCCAGGAGCAGGAAATCCAGGTACTACGGACTGACAATTTTAAATCATAGCAATCGACTCTGATCTTTCAATTAGGCTATACTTCGTGACGTGGACTCCGATATTTTGGGGAATGTGTCTACGTTCGTAGAGCTGACTTCACCTGAAAGGTACGGTGTCTGAATCTTTCTTTGAATGAGCTGTTGACCAATTCTATGTCTCTAGCTGTAATGGACGTATTCCCGCTGGGTTGATTGCCCTCGGCTCCAATATTTCTTCCATGGGGCGACTATTAGTTCGTCTACACGAACAGATGCAATCCTCGGACACTGGACAGGTTGTTGCTCTAGATTCTGGAGATGCGTCCAATCTGAAAACCGTTTTGAAGCATATCATTCGATCTGCCACAAATGACAATGATGGCAATGATGGGGATCAGGGTATATCAATGGACCGGACCGTAGGTTTATCACTCGCAATCTCCCCTTACCCACGTTATGCATCAACGCTGAAGTTCAAATAGGGACCAAAGCCTCTTTCCTATGATTTGGATATATTGCATTATCATGTAAAAGAGAAGGGGATTAAGAAAGTGATCATTGCTTTCCGGGACAGTGAAGCCTTTGATCAAGCTTTACTAGCGGATCTGATATCACTTCTCAGGTGGGAAACTTGATATCTTCTAACAGGCACACACTAATGTTGTTTTTCTTTTTTTTTTTTAGTTCTTGGGTTGATCGGATTTCCTTCGTTCTTCTTTTTGGAATTACTACATCAGTCGAACTTTTTGAAGCCAGGCTTCCAAGGTCCCTGGTGAATCTGCTACAAGGACGCAGGTTTGACGTTCAGAACTCTGGTGACTCTATAGACCGCATATACACCAATCTTCAGATGCGCCAGGAGGGAACTGTATGGCTAGGCCATAACGTGAGCAGAATACTTTTTGAGAAATCGAAGGACCATTTTCAAAGTCCCGAAAGCTTTGGGAATGGGATTAAGGTAAGAAGATCACAATAAATTACTCCCCTTCCCCCCTCTTTAGCTACATCGCTGACACAACTAGTACGCATATATGGCCCATTTCTTCGCCAATCCATTATCTACATTACTCTCAAAAAGTGCAACAACGACAAGCCTTCAAACAGAGCTATGCGAAGCAATCCGAAACATCCCGTCTTTCCGCACGTCAGTACTGTACTTACACAAGTATTTTCGGTCCTTCCATGCAATTACTCACTATTGTTAGGTATGTCCAAGGCTTGTTGGATGACGGAAAAGTGAAAAGAGTACGAAAACTTTTGGAAGACGACAAATTCTTAGCACAAGTCGCCAGAGACAATCTTCACGGCGGCCAGGAAAGTGTGAACGCCATGTTACATTCCGTTGAATTTCTCGAAACGGTGTTACGGTTTCTGAACACCACGAAGATGCCTACGCTTTCCGAACTTATTATTCAGGCTCTAGCAGGAGAACTCCTTAGTTCAAAAATTGTGGGAGATATGCTGGAGGAAATCAAAGAGCTGCCATCAAATGCCATCGAAAGCCTTTTTGCTGCGCTTCCACCCAGAATTGGGGATTTGGCTGTTTTCAAGGAGTTACTCCATAGGCTCCAATCGCTAGTAAGATGTAATAATGGCAGAGACCCTCTCCACAGCGAGTATGATGATCATCATTCATCCCATAAAACCACGGTTGTCGGACAGAGAGTCAAACTCACCAAAACCAAAGCAAAACTATCCAAACAAGATGCCGAATACACTGCTTTCGTCGATGACCTCAGCGCTGCGCTGCAACATTTCTTATCTAGAAACCTTATTTCACCTCAAGATCTCTTCATGCACGAGGCATTTCTCTATGACTTAAGAACGCCCATAAAGGATGTGTTTAATCCGCGACCTCGTTTCACCCTGGAGCGAGCACTTTCCACGCCATTTGATTACCTTGTTTCGGGTGCAAATTCTGCGGAGGCTGAGAATACAACGCTCTCTAAACCGTCAATTTCCATTCTCTATAGCCTTTACCTGGAGACCGGCTCTCTTGTCAATGTCTATGACCTGTGGCGTGCTTATTACACTATAGCAGCGGGGGAGGATATAGAAAAATCTGATGAGCGTCAAGCATTGGCACTGTTTTATCATGCTTTATCTGAACTGAAAATGATGGGGATAGTCAAGCATAGCAAGAAGAAGATCCACCATTTGGCCAAATCAGCTTGGATGGGTTTGTAAAAAATTTACAGTGCTCCAATAGTTAGATATACAGGATTGTAGAGATTAATGTCAACGCTTAATGCTGCATGGCTGCTTTTGGGGGAAAGGAGAGGGAAAGGGGGAAAATAAAAATAAATAAATAAATAAAATAAAAATATGGGGTATCATAATATTTCTCCGAAAACGTGCATGTGCAGTCTTCCCTCATAGATAAACCGGCGTCATTACCAAAATGAAATGCCTTTTAAAACAAAAACAGCGCTCCGAAAACGCCGGGAGCCTCGTAACTATTTCCATCTCCTAATTCATGATGTGGTGGCCTCATGTTTCACCACAGAGGCCACATCGGCCATGATCGTCGCGTCCTTCCCTGTCTTTCAGCTTCTAACTCTTCTTCAAGGTCACGATCAACCTCATCCGCCAACAATTCTAACTCAGCTTCGATATCCTCGTCCATCCTACTCCGAACAGGATGTATAATATCATCTCTCCCCAAAGGTCGTCCACCTTCACTGAAAACCATGGCTTCCCTCCGTCGCCGCCGCAGCGCTTGTTCTTCAGTTGTCCTTTCCTGACGTCGTCGCCCCTCCGTCCATGATGATAAGCCGGCTGTATCTTCACCACCAACCATCCAGACATCGCTATCACTACCGCTGTCATTATCACTATTACCACCATCGTCATAACTTCCACCAATTTCATCGTCATATATACTACCTGTATGCTCTTCCATTCTACTACCCATGAGCCCGTATTTCCGCAGCTGATTGATGCCCTCTTGGTGGGAGGAGAGGGTTCCGACGATAGAACTCATTACCGCGTCATCTGTACACCACGTTTTCGTTAAGAGGACCACGTCTGCGCTTTTGGATTCGTCATGGGTGACGCAGGGAAACGGATATTTCGAAAGCCATCGGCTGATAACGCCAGCCTCTAGCGCAGCGGGGATGTTTTCTCTTAGGATAATGTCAAGAGTAATTAGGGCTTTCTTCTCGCCCTGTGGCCGTGTTATAGGAAGAATTGGTGAAACTGAATTGTTGTTCTCTTCTTTATGCTCTGGGAGAAAGTTACACAGACAATCGACAAGGGCAGTATAGGTGGGCAGGTCTTTCAGTCGGCTGGAGACTGACGAACGGGACACTGTGAGAGAGACACGCATAATTAGCAGTACTTACAAAGGTGGAAATGCAAAGGAATAATATAACGAGGAACACTTACAAGACCTATTGGAGACCAAAAAATATAGAGCATTCAGAGCCTTGTTGCGGAGAGATGGATCCTTGCTTGAGAGGTCTTCCAGAAGTAGATCCCGAGTAGATCCTTTAGTCGATCTCTCGGATATAATCCTTAATGCCCTACATAGCTGTTAGAGTCTCTATCTCAGAGCATACATTCATCATTCCTTACGCTACTCGGAGATCGAAACTCGTGCTTTCAGATAACTTCTGCAGAGTTTCTAACTTAAGAGCTGCAATCGACGTTAGTTATCCCAAATGCGCGTTGAGGGGGTCCTTTTTACCATCCTCGGTCCCTTCACCAATTACCTGGTCATCTTTCTCTCCTTTCCTGATTGCAGTGAGCTCTCGGATTCGATGGAGCTCAGAAGCAATCCCGCGGACGGCAAAGAAGAGTGTGACACCTGCAAAGAGGATTTAGTTACGTTGAATAGGGAGATAGAATGCGATAAAAGCATACCTAGACATAGCCATACAACACGATCATTATTTTGTGAAGCCATATCTATTGCTGTCCTCTATTACAGCCACCTTGCTGCAGCTATCGAACGATGTAGTGCATACGGAGTATGTAAAGTCGGTTAAACATTGGCTGTGTGAAGTGGCAGAACATTAACTTAACTACTTACACTTAACTAGTCAAAGGCGGTGAGCCGCCTCTTTTCCGGCACTAAAATTATGTACTTTCGGTCTAAAAAATATCACTGTTATCCAACAACTAGGCATTCAACCCACACCTCTTGTGCTCCGTCCGAAGACTAATATCGCAATAATGGCCCCTTCTCAGCTTAAGCAGCTGAAGGCCTCTCTTCGGGAAAGCGGCATTCTGGGTCCCCAACAGTCGAAGAAGCAGAAGCAGAAAAATGCGAAGTCCGGTGCGGCCGCCGCAAACAAAATACAGCGTAATGCTGCGCTCGCGGGAATACGGGAGCGATTCAATCCCTTCGAAGTTAAAACGCCTTCAAGGCCTGCAAAATTCAGTTTTGCTTCGCGATCGAACCACGAGGCGCCACAGTCCAGACCAGGAGTTACAAAAGGGCTTGGAGAGCAAAGGGTTTGCTTTCCTACTTGCTCATATGTTCTATTTCCTTCCTGGAAATATCGTATGCTGACTTATCTGATCTAGAGGAAGGAAACACTGCTTAAAGAAATGCACCGTCGGGGCAAAGTTGGTACACTTCTTGATCGACGATTCGGTGAAAATGATCCGACAATGACCCCCGAAGAAAGGGCAGTAGAACGCTTTGCACGAGAGAGTCAGAAGAAACTAAAGAAGGAGTCAGTGTTTAATCTTGAGGATGAAGAGGATGAGATTGAACTTACGCATTTGGGGCAAGCTCTAATCTTTGACAAGGAAGATGGAGACGATTTTCATGAGGACGATCTGAATGGTTCTGATGAAGATGGAGACTCCGGAATAGCACGAAAACGGAGGCGCCTGGTTGAAGAAGACGATATGGAGGGACTGGCTGACGATTCAGAGGAGGAGGGGCCACCAGAACGGAAGAAATCGAAAAATGAAGTCATGAAGGAACTCATCGCAAAGTCAAAATTTCATAAATATGAGCGTCAAAAGGCGAAGGAGGATGATGACGATTTGCGAGCGACTCTTGATAAAGGTCTTCCCGAAATCTTTGAGATGATGAGAGGAGTAAAAAAACCTGAGCCGGAATCCTTGCCAAAACCTGATCTTATCGCGACAATGAATCCAGATCGCGCAGCACTCTTAAATGGAAAGGATAGAGACCAGGCTGATAAGGAATATGATCAACGGCTGAAGCAACTGGCGTTCGAGAAACGAGCTAAACCATTAGACCGTACAAAGACGGAAGAAGAGAGGGCAGAAGAGGAAGCAGAGAAGCTAAAACAACTAGAAAAGGAGAGACTCAGGAGAATGCAAGGAGAGAATGACGAATCATCCGAGAACGAGGAAAACGCTAGCGATAGAGAAATGGGGGATGAATCAGAGCGGGACGATGCGAAGGCATTTGGATTAGCTCAGCCCAGTAGCGTGACTGAGCTTGGGGTTGAGGAAGAAGATGATTTTATCATCGATAGCGACCTTGTTGAGTCCGATTCCGAAGCGGATCTCTCTTTGGACGAGAGTGACATTGCCAGCTCGGCTGATGAAGAAGAATCCGAAGATAAAGAAGATGAATTCATTGGGAGTTTAGTCCTTCCCCCCGACGCAGATGATGGAAAAGGGTTTGCGGACACCAATGCGGGTCTTTCCACAGTCTCGGGAAATCGGTCCCTGGCATATACATACCCATGTCCAGAAAACCATGAGCATTTTTTGCAAATAATACAGGCTGCCAAAACTGAAGACCTGCCAACCATTGTCCAGAGAATCCGAGCTCTCCACCATCCTCGACTCCACGGCGACAATAAATCAAAACTTGCTGCCTTTTCGAAGGTGCTTGTGCAGCATACTGCGTTCCTGGCTAACCAACCAAACCACCCACCATTCGCTGTCCTTGAGAATTTACTGCGACATATCCACTCGATGACCAAATCTCAACCAGAACCAGTGGCTACTGCGATGAGAAACCATCTACGAGAGATGTCAGACAATCGCCCTTTGGAATTGCTACCAGGAGATCTTGTTATCTTAACAGGCGTCGCAACCATATTCCCCACATCTGACCATTTTCATGCGGTCGTCACTCCATCCATGCTTGCAATGGGTAGATACCTTGGCCAGAGCAATATCACCAACATTGGCGATGTTGTGACTGGTGCCTATATTGCAACCCTTTGCATCCAATATCAAACTCTAGCTAAGCGATATATACCGGAATTCATTAACTACGTGCTAAATGCGCTATGTATCCTAGCGCCCAGCGAACCCCAAACCACATTTGGGTTCTTTCCCATTAGAAAACCAACTGCTTCCTTACGAATAATAACCCCATCGAAGCTCTCCTCGTCAGCACCAATCAGAAAACCTGCATTTTGGGATATTCTCTCCGACTCTTCTGCTGACACAGTTGAGCAAGAAACTATCAAATTGTCTTTACTCAGTACCTTTGTCGATCTCCTCGACCAGGCCGCCGATCTCTGGACCTCTAAATCAGCCTTCTGCGACATTTTTTCCCCAGCCAACCGTGTCCTTAAGCACCTTAGCAAATCCATTAACAACAACCTCTCTTCCACACTCTCCGATCAGCTTCGTAGAATCTGTGACAAGCTCCAGGCGCTGCTTAAGCAGTCGGACCTCGCCCGCCGCCCTCTTGTACTACACAACCACCGACCTCTCGCGATTAAAACCGCCATACCTAAATTCGAGGAATCCTTCAACCCGCACCGCCACTACGATCCTGATCGTGAACGTGCCAAGCTTAATAAATTGAAAGCGGAGCATAAGCGTGAGCGCAAGGGGGCTATGCGCGAACTGCGTAAAGATGCAAACTTCATTGCGCGCGAAAGTCTCCGTGAGAAGCGCGAAAAGGATGCGGAGTATGAGCGCAAGTATCGTAGACTTGTCGCAGAGATTCAGGGCGAAGAGGGGAGAGAGGCAAAGGCCTATGAGAAAGAGAAGAAAGCTAGGAAGGCAAAGAGGTAGATTGCATTTTCTGGGGTCATTTTTGGTTATCGTGTTGCTTTTGCTTCGTTGTATATGCTCTGTATACCCCCATTCCTGGCTACATACTCCTAGATGCGTTGTTCTTGGGAGAGCCAGGGTACGCCTCCCCTCTGATATTTTTCTCATATTTTTCAAGAAATGGTTTATAAAACGAGAAAACTAAAAAGCGCAAGCCGTGTAATGTCAATAGTGATGTTAGAATCATCTTATTCTTAATTCTCTGTAACTGTTTCTAAACAGGGTATATATGCAGAAATACTGACATGTGTGAGAAAATGACAACATCCACAAGGCCTGTCTATGAGGCAACCAAGTTTTGGAAAAGCCGACCGCACCCAAAAAGAAAAAAAGAAAAAAAGAAAGAAAGAAAAAAAAAAGTAAATAAATTATTAAAAAACCGATAGAATATACTGTACAAAAGACAAATATTAAGAAATCACATCTTAAGCTCCACCCCGACCTTAATCAGGTACTCGCATTTCGTGAGCTGCCCTTTATCGATCACCCTCGTCTCCGTCTTGCCTGTCTTGACATACAAGTTGTGCAGCACTCTATCACCTTTCTTATTCAAAACTGTCCCCCACTTAGGGCTGCCTTTAGCTCTGTGCGTATTTGGATCATAGCTGCGGATGAAACTCGTCCAGTAACTTTGCATAAGGGGCACAATAGGCGCATTGACACCTCCACGCATGTATGACTGTGGTCCATAGCCGTGCGCAGGACCCCAAATGGCAGGAAGATCAGCCGTGTGGCCAACCCCAACGCCAGATTTCGTAGATGGCGGGTCGTCGACGTCGTAGTGAAAGTGCCATGCTTTTTCGTGGTTGCCCCATGTGCTGCTGGCAAGGCTTAAAGCGAGAGCGGGACAATTGTACCGCATATTACCATAGGCATTGCTGGCTTGGCGCCAGTATGGTCCAGAGTTGGGAAAATCATCATTGGTCTTCGGGAAAAGCTTGTGGATCTTGTCCAGGTGCTTTTGCTGCAGGGCTGGAAATTGGTTCTTCAGGAAGTCGTCAGATTCTTTGAAGCTTTTTGTCTTTTTGGGGATGAAGACGGTGCCCTCGTTAGTGTCTGAGCCGAATATCGTAGGAACTTTCTTTATTTTTCCAGCTCCGATGAGCCTGTAGGTATAGTCCGTGATTAAATCGCCATCGATGGTTGGGCTGTACATGAATAATGGCGGGGCATTGCTGCCCGGGAGGGGGTAGGTTTTGTCGAGCCTTTGGATGTTCGCTGCGTCCATCTTGCGGAGACATGCGAGAGAATCCTTGCCGTTGCATTTCGTATTTTTGACAAGGTTGTTATACATATATTGGCTTTCTTTGATTGTTAACTGAGTTCCAAACGAGGGAGAGCCCGCTGCTGCCGCATGGAAAGTATTGACACTCTTCCCCCCAAATGCTGTGAGCAGATAATATACGGAGGCAGCGCCGGCGCTATTTCCACCGATTGTGACATGGTTGGGGTCTCCGCCAAACTGAAAATTAAGTTAGCATAAGAAATGTCCAACTTCACTCCCGGCCAGCGATCAATATTTGATATCTCTCGTTCGTTGAACAGAAAACATGAGCGACGGTACATACCTTATTAATATGCGCCTTAACCCATTCAAGAGCCTTAATTTGGTCTTTAAGGCCATTGTTAAGACTAGCTTTCTCTTTGATTTCTTTGCCTGCAAGGAAACCGTAAAGCCCAACACGATAGTTGAAGGTCACAACGATGACATTCATGGCAGAAGCCTCAATAATCCCAGTGCCATTCAGCCTTGATCCAGCAAGGCCGTTAAAGCCACCACCTTGAATATAAAAATAAACAGGTAGCTTAGCATTCGGTTTAGCTTTCGACGGCGCATAGACGTTGATGAAGAGACAATCTTCCGATGTATGCTTGTGTGGCACGACGCGGGTTCCCAGACATGCGAGACCGTGCTGTGGAATGTGTCTCAGCCATATCCTACTGCCAAATACTCACACCACTTCGATCTAGATCAAGAACGTAAAAGAAAAGAAAAGAAAAGAGAGAGAGAGAGAGAATTTAAAAAAAATAAAATAAAATAAAAGAACACGAAGACATGAAGGCTTACTTGATCAGCAATCTGATCCTTCGTCTCCTTCAGGGGATCCTTCGGTGCCGCGAAGCGGAGTTGGCTTAAGGGGGGTGCTGCATATCGCATACCAAGCCAATGAGTAACTCCGCCGGGATTTTGTACTCCTCTGTATTTGGCATAGCCCAAGTTAACCAAAGGGTCCACGGCATGTACCAACTGCAAGGCATTCAGAAGGGATATCAGGAGAACCAGAGATGCATATACCGCCATGAGACATATGCAGCAAGCAAAAGAATTATATGCAACAGGAACGAAGAGAGGAAATCATAAAAGTAACTAATTAACGAACCGCAAAAATAAATAAATAAATAAATAAATAAATAAAAATAACAGCAAGATGAAGGAGATGATATATATAAACTGCCTTTCCGTGACACCACCCCATGCAATATGGCATGTCTCCTGCAGGAAACCATCTTGCTGCTATCAGCGATCATTCAAAATAGTAATAGGATTGAGCCCGCGCGCCAGAAACCTTGCCAAATACAAAATGCAACCCCCCTCTGAAAGTGGAGTCCTGGGTGCGGGGGAGTCCATCGCACACAGTCTTGGCCGTCATTCTGTGCGAATAGTGTTCATGTATGGTTATTATGGTTAGTTATATCCAGATGCTATTTGACTAAGTATTCAAAAGTAGATAGATAGTTAAGTGGCTGTGAGCATGTCGTAAGCTGTCAGCAAGAAAGACAAGGCAAAGACTCAAAACATCAGCAGGAGAGAACAAAATAGCGTTTTGCCAAATAGCAAGGGAAAAGCTTAGCTTCGTCCCCTCTTCAATATATTAGTTATCAATCATCAGTTAACAAGTTAATTAGTTGAGAATCTGTTTCAAAGCTCTTCAGTTCAAGCCACGTACATTTTACAACGGCAAAAGGGTAGTATCACAACTCTAACCGAAGAGATAAATAACTACCTGAAGTGAAGCTGCCCGGGCAAAAAGGTTCTGGCTAGAAACCTTTTAACAACCTCATTCATTTCTTCATCAACGGCTCCATGCGTTGCTATTTCAAGCGCCGGGGGATGATATTTTGGCCCTTGGCTAGGATCAGAAGTTAAAATGGTGCTCTCCGGCGGGCTTTGCTTTCTGGCTCGACGATCTGCCGGTCGGCTAGTTATGATACTAATAACTCAAGTGAAGTAAATATATAGAGAGAGGCATGCAGTCATTCGATAGCCGACAGATTAGATGTAACGCAGCATGTTTGAGGAATGGGTAACTGAAGTTAAAGGGAGAGAGATCCAACACTGAAACGACAGTGGTGGCGTAGGGAGTTTAACTATGCAGTTAACTTCCCGAGTGCTTCGACGAAACTTAGTTATCCATGGAGCAAAATCCTTCATAATATCCGATCCCATCAACTCGTTAGCGATTGGGTAAGAAAATAGGGGTTATTTTATTACTGCAACTATCCAACCAGAAATAGCACCTAATTCCCGAGTTAAAACATCCCAGTTCGGGGGTTTCTTTTATGCTGTAGGCAACTATGTAATTGCATTTTAAACGAAATTAATTTAGCTTTAGTTTAGTTAATATAAGTTAAACTAGTTAATTAACTTGGTTACCAGGGGAATCTGTGCATTGAAATTTGGATTCTATATCTGAAAAGCGTCAGGTTTCGCGTGAAAAAGTCTTCAAATCAAACTCATGATGTTCAAACAACCTTTGATTCAGCCAGTTAATAGTTAGTTGCCTATGTGAGAATAGTGCATTCATTCAAGGCCAGCTGCCCACCGAGATGGGCATACAAAACATTAAAAACATTCCCGCTGCCGCCGTTAATCCCAACTCCGCAAACAAACTCGAGGGCCGTGGATTTTATGCTCAAATGCCGAAGCCAGATTTGTCAAGGTGCATATCCGTGAAAATTGCATGTTGCCTACCGTCTCGTAGCCTGGGTTTCTTCCCACTCGACCCAGTGCTCCTGGACGAGACGGGCCGCCCAAGCAGTCCGCTTGTCTGGCGTGGTTGCTCTGGACGCCACCGTTGCTGACGAGAGTGGCACAACCTTGGGCATGCCCTTCGGCTACGAGCTGTTCCAACGTGCGTGTTTTGTTACCGCCATAGGCAAGGGCGGAATTTAGATCGAACACGCTATTGCGTAGATCGAGGCTTTCCCGGCCGGGATCGGCGGTGATGCGGGGCCAGCTCGTGGATAGGGGATGGGCCAAGGAGGAGGGGATTGGGGGGGGTATCGCCCGCAAATTTTTGTCTGGGAGGAGCATTGCTACCAGACGTTATCTTGTTGGTGTTTACTTAATACCTGTATGGTGTTGTTCGGGTGAGTAGGTCCTTGCTGACTCGTAACTAATCAGAGCATCCAGGTAACTAGTTAAGGGCTAGCAAAAATGATTAAACGGAGGTAACGAGAGCAACAGAGAAATACGCTACATATCATAGGTTGACTTGCTTGCCTGCCATTCCCCATCTCCATTATCACGAATGGGGTGCATTCTCTGTCGACAAGAGGTTGAGAACAGCTCTCTCGAGGATCAAACATCCAATGCCAACTTGCGGGGAGGGCTGGGGACAGCGGCGCAACCCGAAGGTTTGCGAAAAGACACAACCAACGCGACACGCAGCTTCCAGGCATGTTGCTGGTCTGGCATTCCGTGAGCTAAAAGGTAGTTACCTGCTATGGCTCACTGATTCATGCTGCTGTCTCTTGCTGTGAGGCTCTGCTAAATTATTCGTGCCCATGGGCTAACTAATTAGGGCTCAGGGGCGTGTCAGGGGAGACTGGCGTATCCAGCCGTCAAGTGTCTTTTAAAACCAAAACTGGTCACAAATCTTGGCTTGTGATGCTCCTGAAAGATGCTTGAGATTCTCGAACTTCAGGTGTTCAGCTGGAGAACGATTGAGGTCCATCTGCCTTCCTTCACACAGTTTTTGCTAACTTATTTTGCTTAGGGAACTGCTGTGGAGCTACGGAGAAGCACGCAGGGGAAGTCAAGGCCGTAGTTAATCTATTCCCATTTGTTTCATACGCGCCCACTAAATGGCGGCTATGGGAATGGCACGCTTCTCATTGCCGCGCCCTCTTCTGGTCCCTACATCTCCCATTTAACTGACTGTCATGTCACTCTTTGTACTTTATATTTCTGCCAAAGACAAAAAAAAAAAAAACCTCTGCTAAATGATTGGGGACCCGATGAGAGGTTGAATTCGCAGCGTCTTCTTACGCGGTAAAACGTCGGAGAGATGGAAATTATGCTAGCGAACAATCTATTTTGAAATATCCTTCCACTGCATATCGCCGTCCAATAAAGGAAAACATTAGTCCCATTCGGCGCGAATTATTTCTGCGTGCTTCTCAGAACGCGGGGTAATCTTCATTGGGAACCGCTGCGGCAAAAAAAACCCAACCTTTCCTTCAACTTCTCTGGGTCTGGGACAATTTCGTTTCCCTGCGCATCACGGGCTATGCCGAACCCAAAGTCCCATAGCATACGTGAAACTCCAAGAAAGATGGAACGCTCTGCAACATGCATTCCCTGGCAAATCCTCCACCACGCACCAAAGCCAAAGTGGTCACGTTTGGACACGTCCGGGTTCGAGGCAGCCTCACTTGCGGTTTGGAAGTCGTTGAAATAACGCAGGGGATCGAAGCTTCTGGGACTACAGATCACAGCAACCGAACATAGCATTGCAGTACAGATGCCATCTCAACGTAATGCTTTAAAGCTGCCGCAGTTCATCTCCTCGTTGTCTATCCAGGCCCAGTCAGGAAGTATTTCCACAAAAAAAAAAAAAAAAAAAAAATCCCACCCGAGGAAGTGGCGCACGGAAACTAATTGCTTTCCGCGATTTTAGCCACCTTTCCTGAAGAGGATGGGGTATTTCGACGATGCGGTTCGGCGTTTTCTTCAACCAACGATATGGTAAATGTCTGACAAGGATGTACGGATATGACCACACACGATGTATTAGGCCTGGAATGACCATCGGGCGCAGTCTTGTGCCCAAACGCACATGTTTCAGCAACTCCCACAGAAGAGAGGTATTGAGAAGCCATTTCGAAACATGATAACACCACCCTTGGGTATTTAGAACCTCCAATTCCACCCCTCCAACAGGATGTAGTTAGAGACGAACGCTCGAGACTATGGTACGTTGCGTTGCCATCTCACACAATGATGTGTCATACGAACACCAAACAGCTAGGCTGCATCCCCACGCATCTCTCCATATCGATGATGCCACCAACATGCTTGCTTGCAGATCGCGGGTCGCGGGTCGCGGGGCGGCTGCCTTTTTATGAACTGCTTTCCGAGCCAATTAAAAATCAAAAGGTGAAAAGAGAACTGGAAAATTTTTGGGATGAACCAGCCAGTTGGAGCGTTTGTTGTCCCAATGCACCCAATTCACAGGTTTTTGGAGAGAATTTTTGCACCAGACAGTAGTTACACTTCATCCGCTTGATGAGAGAATTTGTCGAAATATTAAAATGCCATTTGCTCAACATGTTTCGCAAAACGTATCCTTTGGCTTAGGCAAAGGAATCCGATAATATCTTTCACCATAATTGAAGCAAGTTTATTTACTTGTTATTTACGCAGAGCAAACCTGGTGAAAATTCAAAAAAGGTACGTTGTCGAGTGACTGTGTGGGAAGCTGAAATATGCCCAAGGATTGTGACATGTTCCCAAACCCTTTGTTGAGCATAATGAATGGATCAGTTTCTGCATATATGTGGAAGCTATGGCAGTAGATGGACGCCTTTAATCCTTAAAGAAGCCTGAATCCAACCGTAAGCCGTTGTTGACGACATAGTTGCGCATAGTGAATCAACATCATCTGTTGTATCTGTAAGATCGAGCGGAGATCACATGACGTGCCAAGTAATCGCAGGACGGAGCTCAAAGCTTCCTTAAAACACTCTGCGGAAAGAAAGTCGACAGCATTCAACCAACCGCGAGGCCCTTCGCCAGCTTCTGACTATGACGGGGATAAAGATGGATAACATTCTAGTTCCATGATATATACGGTGACTGCGCAATTTGGCCATTCAAAGTTTTGGGTGTGGCATAAACATGCCTCACCATCCTTCATTCTCGAAGCGCTCAGGCGGAAGCCAAGGAGACAATAAGAATGCAGAGAACGAGGAGGAAGTAGAGGACTACATGTCAATGACTATTGTCGAGCCATCTAGGCCACAGGGGCGGAAGGAAACATACAGTGAAATGCGCTTGAGAAAGCAAAGGGAGGTTCGTTGAATCCTGCACAAATTAACTGACGTAAACCGTGATATCGTTGTCTCCCTTGCTTATATTGTTATGTTTTGTAACCACAGCAAACTGCACCATACTGCCTCCCATAGACATGCCATTATGAGTTGCTGACAGCGTGTACGCTTCTCATTCGTAGTCTGAAGCCAAGTCCCGTGTCCCGTCCAAAGCAGAGCGGGCTGCTGCTGAGGCTGCTCGAAGAGACTCCGCGCTCTCTACTAGCGCTCTTGACCCCTCGAACAAAGGTTTTCAGATGATGGCTAAACTAGGCTTCAAGCCAGGAACTGCTCTTGGAAAAGATCGGTCTCCCGAATACGCATCTGGTGTTGATGAGTGGAACCGGCGACTCACAGAACCTCTAAATGTGATGGTCAAGGAGGATAGAGGAGGGATCGGGATGGATAGTGAGAAAAAGCGAAAAATAAGAGAGCAAGCTGAAAGTGAAACGAAGAGAGTTAAGGCTGAAGAAGACGATTTTAGAGAGAGGGTTAGGCGTGAAAGAGAAGAAAAGAGGACTGAGGGATTGTTCATCGCCGCCCAAAAGGTCGCAGAAAGATTGGATGTTGAGCAGGTTGAAGATGAAGAGAACATGAGCCTTAGTGACCGAGACCGTACGGAAACATCACCAAAGGATCCTACCAAACAAGGCCTCAAAGCCAATTCCACACAACCATCCATATCTACTGCTACTGGTAACGCAAAGCGCCACACCAAGCCAACATCGCAAATCAACGTACTCTATCGTGGCCTCGTCCGCGCTCGGGAGGAGAGTTTGCGCAATCAGCAAGCTCGTCGTGGCCTGTACCAGTCACTCTCCTCCAAAAACCCAGACCTGATACCGAACCTCGAAAATCTTCCGACATATGGCGATGACCAGCTAGAGCCGGATGATAGGCTTGCCTTAGGTCGAAATGCAGAAGGAGAAGTTCTTGAAGTTGAATTGGAAGAAAGCGAAGACGAGGAGCTGGCAGAGTTTAATGCTTTAAGCGCCCAGGATCGGTTGTTCAGGGTGGTGATGTACCTCCGCGAGAAATATCGATATTGCTTCTGGTGCAAGTATCGCTACGAAACCGAGGAAATGGGAGGCTGTCCAGGCTTAACGGAAGATGATCATGACTGAGGTAGCCTCTCCATCTGCGTTTTAATTAGACGTATGATGATACCTTGATATGCCTTGCAGCTGTGTCTTGCTCGGCTGCGAAGTTCTTAAAACGTGGCTTAATGGGTGCTAGCCCACCTTTTGCCTGCTTCAAAATCGCAGGCTCTGGGTCATCCATTTAAAACTAACAAGCATTAATAGTGGTCCCCCCCCCAATCTTTTGCCTTAGTGCATCTGCCATTTTGCCTGCCCCCCCCCCCAAGAGGTGATGTTTTTTTAAAAAGGGGTCTCCTTCCTATGGACGGGGGTCAACATAATATAGTTCCGCGCTCAACTAGTCGTGCTATTGGCCTAATCCTCGGACGGGGGTGAGAACAGAAAAGCACCCCCGTGATGGCTCGGATCTTTTATGTAGGGTTTTACGGAGCCGCAGGGGTCGGGGAAGGA